ATCATCATCAGCATCATCATCATCACCAGCATCATCATCATCAACATCAGCATCCGAATCATCATCAGCAGTACCATCATCAACATCACCATCACCATCACCATCATCATCATCATCATCATCATCATCACACTCATCATCATCATCATCATCACCATCATCATCGCGGGACACCGCGGGACACCGGCGGGACACCGCGGGGCACCGCGTGACACCGCGGGACACCGCGGGACACTGGCGGGACACCGCGGGCCACCGGCCGCCCGGAAAAGAGACATTTGGTCCGGCCGCGCCTCAGCCACACGGGACACCAGCGGGACACCGGCGGGACACCGCGGGCCACCGGCCGCCCGGAAGGGAGACATTTGGTCCGGCCGCGCCTCAGCCACAGGAGACTTTCTTCTCGCTCGCCCACGCAGCTTCGCCTCGCCCGCACGCACGGCACGCACGAACACGAAACCGAAATCGATTTCCCGGTAGGGGGGCTCTCCGTTCCACTTCGATCTCACCCCCTCACTTCCGACCCATCGCGTCAAAACAACACTACTTCTACCTTCTAACACAACAGCAAGACATCGATACACCACCGCCCTCCACTCAAAATTGACGGGGTCGGGCCGGAGGCAACGTACCCTGGTCAAAAACTTCAATATTCAATGGACACTGCAACCGTCAACGTTTGGGACGGGGTACTTGACAGTTGGTGGGTCGAGCTTACCAATGTTGCACTGTCTTCGCCCGATTGGTGCGGACACGCGTTCTTCTTCTCTCACTGCCCCCCCCACCCACCCTGCTTTCTGGAGGTATCCAGCGGCCCCCCGAGGCTAAGAAAGGCTCCGAATCATCGTCCCTCGACCCTCTCGAATAAATCGGGACAGGCGAAAATGGCGGTCCTCGTGCAGCTTGGCTTCCGTCGCCCTCTGCTGGCGCTCCTTGGCGAGGTACCTGCGAGCGTTGACTCCCAGGGCACGGGAAAGCGGGCGAGTAGAAGAGGAGGGGGGGCCAGCGTCCTGGCCTGCCTGCATGTTTACCGATAGGAGCACGAGGACCACTACAGATACGTACTCGCAAGAAGACGATGCTGATGTTTCAATGAACTGTCGCAAGTTTCAATAATATGTCATGGCACACCTGAGCGCAAGGATATTATGGCACCGCTTGATCCTTAACAAAGTACTACCAGGAGAATACCAGATACTCCGAAAGTGCTTGACATGTCTAACATGCTGCCACGGCGGTGAGACACATTCGCCAGGTGGATACTGAACTCCGAAGGGGATGCACGACTGCACGTTAGCGTCAATGCTCGGCGGCAACGGCGCACCATTGAAATAACATCAATTCTACTGACAAGGCGTTGCCAGCGTGGACCCGCGGACCCCACGCAAGTGGTGCTTGCATTCTCGATGTGCTATCTATGTGGTGCATTATCTGAAATTCGATATATGTTGTGGAATCTACGTGGCGCAAGCTACGTGGAACAAGCAGGGGGGAGCAAACTGTCGGGTGCAACAATCTATGGAACGCAACATTATGGTGCAAACTTTTGGGCGCGCCATCCGCGAGGTGCAATCCATGTCGTGAAACCTATGTGAGGCAGCGACGGGCATGCACTGATTTGCCGAGTTGCCAACACCACTACTTACCATGGGCAGGAGAGGGGAGAGGAACTGGAGGAGGAGAAGGAGGATGATCCGCGAGCTTCCGACCGCGCTGTCGAGCGGACGGGCGGCCCGCACGCGCCCCAGCGCGCGGGGCCAAGGTCAGGAAGACCCGCACGAGCTCGTCGAGGCCGACCGCGACGAGCAGCAGCAGTGGCCGCCGCCGAGGGCGCACGCCATCCTCCCCTCTCCCCCGCCCTGCCTGTTGCAGAAGCGGTTGCAACTTTGCCCGGCAGGCACTGGCCAAGATCCCAACAGATCCAGCCGGCGAGCGAGGCGGCGACGGGCGGGCACGAAGCGACGCTCTGGCGCAGGCCCAGCGTGAAAAAAACTGTGATAAAAACACGTGTGATAAAAAACACGTGTGATAACAACTGTGATAAAAAAAACACGTGTGATAAAAACAAGCACTGTCTTTCATTACACCTGGGGGCCCTCAGGGCCCCCTCTCGGGCCCTCAGGGCCGCCCCTATTCTGCAGCCCCCGCCGCCCCCACATTTTGTCGCCCCCCCCATTACGCGCCCCCCGAACGGTGGGCGTTGGCCGGGCACATGGCGGAAACCCAGAAGATCCACTCAAGGACTTCGACGCCGAAGTCAGAGCTCCTTAATGCAAGCCCGTTTTGCCAAAGGAAGCCGTCTCGCTGAACGTATGCGGCGCTTCGACATTTGCGAGCTAGTGGAGAATGTGAGCTGGCTTGTGTCTCACAGTATCCCAGCCTGCTCACACCAGTAGGCCTCGAGCATGAGGAAGGCGTGGCACCACCTAGCAGTCACGCCTATGTAGGCGGCGAATCAACTCCCAAGCTGGTCTTTCCTGTGGGATCGCAACGAACTCCCATGGAGAACACTGCAGGGAGCCTCACACAACTTGGCAATGGCAATCATAACCCCTCTTAGCATGTTTCAAAGTATGGCCCCGACTACGAGCTTAGGAAGCCTTGGGACCCGTCCTGGAAATTCTCTCAAGTGCGTCCAGATTCCTTGTCGCGATCTGTGGATCCCACTCGACCTTCCCGCTCGTGCGCATTTGGTAACCTCTCCCTTCGCACACAGAAATCCTTCACACAAGCATCGGCAGTTCGAGCACAAGTGTATGCCATGGTCTCGCCAACGTCCTTCTCCGTAGCAGCTCCTGTCTGGTGCTGGCCTGGTCGCGACATGCACCCGTACATGCCTAATTCAATTATTGGAGGGGCCGCTGAGGTGCGGGGGGAGGCGGGATGTTTATTCTGACTCGCACAGCGAAAGCAAAAACTTCGAGTGCCCCAGCCTGTTTGAACCGATGTGTCGTCACGCGGGATGCCTTTCGCGTGTACTTCCTTGACCTCGAAAGAATCTTAGATTTTACCACATGTCGGCTTGAGCCGTGTCAATCGCACCATTTGGGAGGCGCTTGATCATCAATGATGCGGGCTGCTGCCAGCCTTGACGATCACGTCATGAGATTGGCACATGTGCATGGGCATGCACTTGAACCGACAACTCAGACTCACTGTGATGGGTGAGTTTAACGAAGGGTGCTGTCTTTGCATGTGTCTTCACGCCTGCGACCGCCTACCATGACAAGACAAGATGCAGCAAGCTAATGATACATCCTGAAGTAAAGACACGAGTGAGCACAACTGTTGAACGTTAGTATATATATGTATACAAAGGTATGGGGTGGCGTCGACAACCCATGCTTGGAACATACGCTTGGCGTATCCCCTCTCCCAATACATCCCCGTTCGTGTGTCCGTACGCTTCCTTCTCCTCCTCCTCCTCCTCCTCCTCACCGTCGTCATGGCAACCTGGTTCACCACCACCACCAATATCATGTTTCATACTTCACATCCCCTTCCTCCATACCCCTCATCGTGTTCCCCCTGCCTCTCCTACTCCCTCCTCCCCCGTCCCGACCCCTACCCCCCCTCCCTGGCGGGGACCCCGTCCACAAAGCCGTGCGAGACGGGGCGTGAGCCTTCAGCACTGCGGTTGGCCCTGGTTGGAGGCACCACCTCGCATTAAGTGCGATCCCTCGGGAAGGGGTGGGGGGCTTGAGGATGGAGTAGAAGAGAGCCTGAGGGGGAATGGGGAATAGTACACAGCTTTGAGGAAGCAAGAGGAAGCAGAAGCAGGGAATGTCCGCTTCGCGTTCCTCATCATCCCCCTCCTTCTGTTCCTGCATCCTTCTCTTCTCTACTTCCGCCTCATCCTCCTCCTCACCCTTGTCCCACGCCCCATTATCATCTGTGCTTCATTCGTTGGCTTCGCTTCGGGGGCCTGATCTCACCACCACCAAACTCTTGGCCTCCCTCACCAACACGACCGCCCATGCTCCACTTCTGCTGGCTTGCGCGGGCCTTTCGCCAGCGTCCGTTGATGGAGAGATCTGCACTTTCTCGGGATGAATCTGGAACGACCACATATGAGCTGTGCGCCCTGATCCCAGTATCACACCACGCCCTTTCCTCCCAATATCTCGCAACTGGTTCCGAATTACAAAGCCCGCCAGAGTATCGAGCTACGCAACTTGTGTAGTTATTGATGTGCACTGTTCTACCTGTTCACTCCTGCGTTGCACCCACCGTAGCAAGAGCGACTAGCCAAGTCTGGCAGGGGTACTCAACGGTGTACTCGCCACGCTTCTCTACCTTGGCGAGGTAATCCTTGCGACCATAGAAATCGTGCAAATTCCTCGGGTTGGGCACTGGCCGACGCAAAACATCTCCACCGGGATGACGCGGGCACGAAGACGTGCCATGTGAGAAACGGGAAGTGCGCGCAAGCGTGGAGGACAACTGCTCGGAGGTCGCACATGCAACTGGAATGGCGAGGAGGCCTGCCGTCGGCATCATGCCTGGATGCGTTGTCATTTCGAACTTGGTGCAAAGGTAGGAGTGGGGGGGGGCGGGGGAGAGGGGCAGTGGGGGGGGCGAAGGGAAAAGGAGGGCGAGAGAGACCTGCACGGGTGAGCGCCAGCTGGATTCATCGCCGTCTCGCTGCACAGCTGCCGAAGTGATGCGACGCACCATTCGAGGCCTCCCCAAAATGGTGACTCCGCCGTGGTGCTTACTTGCCCGTGGGCGGCGGCGGGGAAAGGACGATATGGGAGCGGCAGGGACAGAACACAGGAACAGATGGGAAGGGGAGAGGACAAGGGCATAGGCAGGGGGCAGAGAAGAGACTCGGCAAAGACGATAACTTAAACCATCACTGGGGAATGCCTTCGGCTCCACCAGCCGCGGTAAACCTTCTGAAAGACCGTCGCGCAGTGTTCATGGAAGCGCAAGTTCTGCCGCCTTCGCAGGTAGCAGTCATCTCACCCTCCGCTCAACCTGAACCTCCAATTCTTTCCCTCCCCCGCCCCTAGCCCCGCCTTCTGCTGTTCCTCCTCCACCTTGTGCTGCTGCTGATCCCCCTCCTCCTCCCCCTCCTTCTCCTCCTTCTCCGCCTCCTCCTCCTCCTCCTCCTCCTCCTCCGCATCCTCATGCTCCTCCTCCTCCTTCTCATCATCAGCATCATCAACATAATTGGCATCATCATCATCAGCAGCATCATCATCGTCATCAGCAGCAGCACCATCATCAACATCAGTATCATCATCATCGTCACCACCACCATAATCCTCAGCATCACCAGCAGCAGCATCACCATCACATCAACATCAGCATTAGCATCAGCATCTGCATCAGCATCATCAACATCAGCATCGGCATCCTCACCAGCATCATCGTCAACATCATGAGCATCATCATCATCATCAACATCCACAGTTTCAACAACATCAACATCATCACCATCAACCTCAACATCACCATCACCAGCATCATCATCATCATCATCATCATCATCATCATCATCATCAGCGTCAGCATCATCACCATCACCATCACCATCATCATCATAATCATCAGCATCGACATCATCATCACCATCATCATCATCATCATCATCATCATCAGCATCAGCATCATCATCAGTATCATCAATATCATCATCATCAGCATCATTATTATCATCATCATCAGCATCAGCATCAACATCAGCATCATCATCAGCATCAGCATCAGCATCAGCATCAGCATCATCATCATCATCATCATCAACATCGCGATGTCCTCTTATTGCTCGTGCCGGTCCCAAATTCGGACACCGCTTTGAGTCTTGACACAGCTCCTTCTCTCTCTCTCTCTCTCTCGTCTTGGCCGTCGTTCTCCGCGCCCCATTCCTCGTCCTCGTCCCTCACCCTCGTCCACCACCTCCTCGCTCTCCTGCCAGCCCTCCCTTGACTCCTCCGCCCCCCTCCCTTCCTTCAACCAAAAGGGTCCCCGGAGGCTGCTGCCGTAGGTCAGTGCAGGAAGTTGCTCGGAGACCAAACAGTCGGGGCCAAGAGCGTCCAGAAGCCTCTGTAACACCTCGATCCCTCCCTCTCCTCCTCCTCCTCCTTCTCCTCCTCCTCCTCTACTTTTCTTGTCCTCCCCCCTGCCTGGGGAAGCAGACGAGCAACCCGACCTCCACCTGGACCCCCTCCCCAGAGCGGGGGGCGAGGTGAGGGTGGGGTTGTACTGTTTGTGGGCCTTTTTCGAGGCGCCCACGCAATCGGACTCCGAAGCTGTCAAACCCAGCCGCAGATGGGGGAGGGGGGCCAGGTGGGGGTGGAGGTACGCTTTATTTCTCCGATCGCCTGTAAGCTGCGCTCCCCCTACTGGACACGAATGACAACGCAACCATCGTGCCTCTGCCTCCCCCATCCCCTCCTCCTCCCGGCCCTCTGGCAGTAATCTCTCGCCACGGGGGACTCGATAAGTGCTGGCCACAGTCGGATGTGCTACAAGAGCAGAACATTGCTCGGCGCGACACGTCAGACCGACTATTCTCGCCATCATCAGCACTATCACGTTGCGATGATGATGGTGATGATGCTGATGATGATGATGATGATGATCATCATCATCATCATCATCATCATCATCATCATCACCACCACCACCACCACCATCATCATCATCATCATCATCATCATCATCATCAACATCATCAGCATCAGCATCAACGTCATCATCATGTTCATCGTCATCATCACCACCATCACCATCATTATCATCATCAACATCATCATCATCAACATCGCCACCACCACCACCATCATCATCACACGAATCATTAGCATCATCAGCATCAGCATCAGCATCATCATCATCATCATCATCATCATCATCATCATCATCATCATCATCGCCAGCAACATCATCAAGGTACTCATCATCGTTACTATTACCACTGCCATCATCGTGAATGCCATCGCAATCATCGACGCCACTTGCTCGTCCAGCGATGCCCCGCCGAAGCGGGCTCGTGCAACGCGCACGGCACCGTCTCAAAACTGCTGGGGCCGTAGAAGCGGAGTAGGGATGGCTACGTCGGAAAACCGACCGCACAGATTCGCGACCGTACTGTGACCATTACAATGACCGATCCGCTCTCTGCAGTCTAGGGATGCGAGGTGCGAGGGATCCCAGGGTCTATACACGGAGCACTTACCATCTGCGTTTGGAAATTGTCACTAATACGTCGTACATGGTTATGCCCAGATTGAGCATTCTCGCCCCCATACGTGGGATAATGGGTGATGTGCAGAGTATGCGCATCACCGTCAATATCGAACTACGACTGAATCCGGATGAATTTGGAAGTTTTGTGCATTCGTGCAGCAGTGAAGGAATTCTAGGACTCAGCTGTCTGGGACCGCCAGAAAATCATGCGTGCAAGCTGTATCCTTTGAACTACACAGTACCTTCCCAAGACAAGACAAGCGGCCGCCTGCGATTCGCGTCGCGCATCATCTGTGTACGTGCCTTCGCGGAAAGGGCACCCATGCATGAATGTGATGGCAAAGCTGCTTGAACACATTCTAAATGCACTGGACCACGCGACGACCTGCTGTCTCTGATAATGCTGGCCGTGATGAGTAGCGTGAATACAACGCAGCTGATGAGCCTGCAAGACGACTCACAAGGGTCTGAGGTTTTACGGCAGGATCGTGGCGTGATGACCACAGCTTTGGTTTCTGGCACTGCATGGATCGATCAACGTGGAACAATCGGCGGCTTTTCGATCAGGCTTCTATATTGGCTCAATTCTGGGCCACTCGCTCACACCGCAGGAAGCGTGCCCGAGGGAAGTGGCCCTGGACCAGGAGGTCTCCCTCGAAGGACCAAGACCAAGTCTTCGTCCAAAATCGTTCTTATGGACACCAATAGGCACCGATACGGCTAATTAACCCAAGACCTCTCCGGGGTGCGCTTTGACCAGAATTTCGCGGCGAATCCAGCGGTGGCGGCAAGAACCTCCCAGGAGGCTCCCCCCCTCCAAGGAAGGGTAGCGATATGGGTGCCTTGCCCCCTGCGTCTCCGGGGCTAGGAGCCCGCAGCCGGTAACAAACCTCGAGGCCCGGGTCCCTCGGGGCACGGCTCGCTCCATCGCGCGACCCCTGTCGCCGCGCGCACCGCCCCGTCCCGGACGGCCCCCGCCGCCGGGTCCGGGAGGCCGCCAGGCCGCCCAGGCGCCCCATCCGCGCCGGGGAATTTTTGTGAGGGGCAGACTCGCGTCTTTAGGGAACCCATACAAGACTACGTGCCCAACCACGTGCATGAGCACGGCCCCCCATATCCGCGAGACCTGCCGCGTGATACGAACGTTCGAGCAGTGCGTACTCTCGAAACCAACGTGGATGTCTACACGTGTACGTCATTCTTTCGCTCCTGAGTCTTGGGGCCGACCAGACAGACATGTCGGTCTGGTGGGCACGACAGGGTAGGATAGAAAAGGGTAGATAATCAGCTCACATAAGTGGGTTTCCTGGCGCCATCCTGCCACCTGAAGTCGCCAAAGTATCGAGTACTGAGCCCGGTGGCGGGGCGAAAACCAGCTGCATGCAACAGATTTCGTACGCCCCCCCAATCCCTATGCTACCCTCTCGTCTGGCCCGACAGCAAGCAAGGGCCACCATCGGATCGGAAAGCCGGATCGACATCGAAGTCCGGTCGAATTTCCTGGAATCGGAACCAAAATCGACGATCGCCGCATCGGCTGGGAAGTCGGAAAAGAGAGGTCTGATCGGAAACGAACCGAAACTTCTGATGGTGTGCTGGCCGAAGATGTCAGGACCGAAATTCCCGAGCGCCGCAGAAAAACGGGGTCGTCTTCACCGACATTGGCGCGCAAGCCTCCCGCGTAAGGTCGTGCGAGTAAGCGCCCTCGTTTGCAGCGTAGCGTGCCGCGCTGAAGGTCCGCGCAAACTGCGACGTATCGGCGGTGGACAAACCCCCTTTTAGTAAACCTCCCCTTTGAGAAAACGGCCTTAGACCGAAACCGACGGATCTGGACAGGGAAAAATGACGGCCGCGACGCCCTCCCGCGAACCGAAAACGGCCAATTCGCCAATCGACGTGTCAGGGTAGGAGGTCGATCATCCTCCGAGACGTAAGGTCGCTATGCCATCTCGCGCAAGACCCGTTGCTGATCGTCGCTCACCCTGCCATCGCTCGGTCGTCCCCTCCCCGTGCGCTGTTTGAACTCGTGGGTTTCTTCTCGAGATGATCCCAAGTGCTTCCAGACAGCCTGGACTGATGGCGCTGGCCTTGCGGAACAAAAAGATGCTCACGCCCGAGCGATGCCAAGCCGCCCGGGTTCGAAGCATCGTTTGGGGACGCCAAGAGGTACCGATACCGCTAGCCCCCAAACCTCTCATTGCGGAACAATAAGAAGCTCACGCCCGAGCGATGCCAAGCCGCCCTGGCTCGAAACACTGTTTGGGGACACAAAGAGAGGTACCGATACCGCTAGCCCCCAGACCTCCTCTCATTGCGAAGCAAAAAAAACCCACGCCTGAGCGATGCCAAGTCGTCTGGGCTCGAAACGCTGCTTGGGAACGCCAAGAGAGGTACCGAGACCGCTAGCCGCTAGCCCCCAAACCTCTCCCGGGGTGCGCTCTGACCAGAATTACACCAAAGAAAAACCCCACTCAGTGGATGGCTTTCGCTGAAAAGATCGACTGGGAACCCGGGGGCCCGGGAACCCAAAACCCCACCGAAAACGGCCCAGAACCAATAACCGGGAACCCGGAGCCGGGAACCCGGGAACCCAGCCTGCCACCAAAATCGGCGGGAAACTTTCGCCAAATCTTTCAACTTCTGCTAGGGCCCTGTCAGTGCAAGCGCTGATTCAGGGATTTCCCAGCGGATCCAGCGGTGGCGACGAGGGCCTCCCCGGAGGGCCAAACGCAGGCGAACGCGAGGCGACGTGCTGGCGCTGGCCCCGCCGAGCAGCAAACGCGACCACGTCCGAGCAGGAGGAGGAGGAGGAGGAGGAGGAGAAGGATGGGGAGGAGGAGGAGGACCAGACCAGACCCCTATGGGGGCATGAATCCACTCCGTGACACACTAGGCGCCCTAGGATCGACATAACTGCCGCGATTTCGGGCCCCCGCCCGCCCTGATTTTCCAGGGTATCAAAACCTTAAACAACTACCGAAACACAACGCACTCTGAAGTCAAAAAAGCGCAGCCGGCCCCGAGAGACTTCCCCAGGCCAGAATCACGGAACGACTGAACAACAGACCTGCACACGCAAGACAGGAGGAGGAGGAGGAAGAGAAAGGAGGGGCGGCCTGGCAGCGGCAGCCGCGGGGCCTCAAGACGCGAAGCCGTAGTAGACGCAGCTGTGCGCGTAGCCCTCGTGCCCCCCGTTCAGGACGGCATCGGAGCACACGCGCAGGCCATGGAAGTAGCACAAATTCACACGCGCTCAGTATGTATACTGCGCACAGCACGACATAGACTCTCCTCTTCACCAATGATAGTAGCTCCCACAAGCAATCAGGCACCGCCTCACTGCCGCCAATTTCCCCAGTCCGCCAAGGACCTTGTCAGCCAACATATGCGGACTCGTCACATCGATGCGTTAGTAGTCATCGCTGCCGTTCTCGGGAATGATCAGGAGGTTCCTCTCAAGGTGGCCCTTGGGCGGAGCCCCCTCCTTCAGCTGCGCCCCGAGCTGCGCGCAGCAGACGACTGGAAGCGCGAGCTCGTCGAAGTACGGCATCATCACTTTGCACTGGCGCCCTTGAGCGCGGTCTGGATATTGATGAACGGAAAAGGACACAGCCCGCTTCATGGACTTCTGGCCTGTGCCTCTATCCTCTCCACCAACTTCATGGCATTCGAATTGCCGCAGTTGTAGCCCTCATTCTCGCAGCCCTCGAAGCTCCCCGCGTCGCGGCACATCGCGCCGAAAGCACGCGCGCAAATCCAGCTGAACAAGAAGAGGGGCATGGTCGCAACATGCTGCGTCACGACTCCCGCAGCCAGCAGTAGTGAGACCAACTGCATACAGGACACGTAGCTGGCACACCGCGAAACACGATCCATGTACGACATACGCTGGCGTTTACCACGTAAACATTGTAAGTCAGGTGTTGCATCAACAATTCCTGCATCATCAGGTACTGATCCAGATAAGTTCGGGCCACATGTTAAAAGGTGTCTGCAAAGTCCCCCCCCCCCCCCCCCGTTTCTGCCATCTCGCGCGCGGTATATCCCGCCTGTTGCTTCATGCTGCATCCGTGCCTCTCACCTGCGGCAGACTTGATCTCACATGCGCTGCGCTGCCCCCTCACCAGCCCCACAACGCCATTGGCATGCGTCACCATGATCTGAGCGATGCGACACGGGCCCGCTCGTGCCCGTCGTGCGTAGTCATAAACACGATGGATGGTAGCATTGAGCTTCGGCCGCCCCCGCAAATCCCTGCTTTGAAGAGTAGGGAAAAGGCCCACGACAATCTCGTCCACGCAATGCGAAATACTACTAACAGCACCCCCCCACACCTCGAATATCTCTTGGGGGGACCCATATACGCACTGCATCCCGAGCTCGAAGCGTCTGCTTGTTAACCACCGTCGAAACACCGCGCGATGAGTTTGTGAAGCTGTCTCTTGGGTCATATCCAAATTGCCTGCTCTCGAACTTCATGTGGGCCACCGCCGCGTCTGCGGACTGGAACACGAACCGTTACGTACCGAAAAGAATTCGCAAAACCACTAGAACGAATTTGTACTGCAGCTCAGACACCCTGTCTCTATCAGTAAGAGAAAGAGGATTCCACCATCGCGCTCGCATAGTTCCGAAGAAAGTCAAGGATACACGAGTACAACAAAGAATAATCAAACCCGAGGACATACACGCTCCGTCGCAATTAAGCCGTCGTGGGCACCCGTATGGGCTCTACGGGTCTACCTCCTCAGGTAATAGCACAACACTGGTAGACAGCGAGCCCACCTCCAGGGACACGAAAAATTCAATCAGAACAGATAGGTGCCACGCGAACCCCTGCGGTAATCGATGCACAACACTGTGAGAAATGGAGGAATGTGTGTGAGTGAAACAGTGTTCGGTAGCGGGCGAGGGAGGCCGCGCCTCCTGGTCGACACGGCGAAGGGTGCGCAGGGTGCCGTGCAGCCACAGCCCCTAGAACACCTGGGCCGCGCGGCTAGGAGGGGGGGGGGGGAGGAGGAGGAGGAGGAGGAGGAGGAGGAGGAGGAGGAGGAGGAGGAGGAGGACGAGGAGGAGGAGGAGGAGGAGGACGAGGAGGAGGAGGAAGAGGATGCCAAGCCGCCTGGGCTCGAGGCAATGCTCGGCCGAGCGCCCGCCCGGCTGCACGAGAGGACCCCCCTCATCGGCGGAATGCGGGGCGGCGGGCCCGCCGCGCTGCCACCCCGCTCCCGCCTGCCGCGGGGGACTCTGGAGCCCACGCCACCGGGCGCCGCCAGAGAAGTGCCACTGGCCTTAAGTCGGGCCTGTCCTCCTACACGGGGATTCTAGACAAAAAAAAAATACTACTCAAGAAATGCCCCCTAAACGGGCACACGCAATCAAAATATCGTCCCTAGATCATTGTCTCACAATGTTTTAATATTCCTCCTGAACAGGGACAGGCCCGAGGCTCCCAGGGCCTCCAGAAGGGAGCGGAGAGCTGGGGCCACCTTTTTCTTGTAGTCTTTTTCCCTGGCAAATCATAAATGCATGTTGGACAAGAAACGGCCCGCTGAGGACCCGGTGCGATACGAGATCTCCTTGAAGCGTATCGGCTCCACCGGTGAAAAGAGAAGAAACTTGAGCCATCCTGGAGCCAAAATGGCGTCTTGACGGAAAAGCTGGGGGGCACCTGCTGGACCAGGGGCATTTCTAGCCGTGCCCGGCCAACAGACGTACGCGCCCAGCCACGTACACGAACATGGCCCTCCAGAGTCCGCGAGGAAAGCCTCGTGTTGCGAACGATCGCGCGCTGCGCACTCTCGACACCACTGCGGATTCCGCGTGTACGTCTATTGGAGGCCTGAATATTGGCACCAACACCAGTACCGGGGTTTGCATCCACGAGGGGAAGATGCTCCTGGATTTCGGTGTTGGTGGTAATATTTCGGTCACCTTGGAAGCCAAAATATTACCACCATCACCGAGATCGGGATCGTCTTCCCTCGGTGGAGGCACACCGCCGATCTTGGTGTTGGTGTCAACCTCTAGGCCTGCGAGTGTACGTCCTCATGCCGCTCTTGAGAGCAGAGTTCCGAGGCTGGTGCCCGCAAGGCGAGACGAGTCTGCATCGAATCGGGACATCGGATCGGATCTGAACGTGCGTCGGATCGTGCTGCTTTGGCACGGAGTCGAAGTCAAAAGGGATCGGCAACGCAAGGATATGCACGGATGCACATAATCGCCCATGCAAGCATCGGGCCGCATCGGATCGTGGGAATATCGGAATCGAATCGGATGGGACCAGTTGGAATCGATATCAAATCGGATCAATCGGATCGAAATTGACCCTTCCACGCGACGGGATCGTGCCGCGTCGACCTGCGCGCTGGCCTCTGAGGGGAAACGTTGGGGTCTCGCGATCGGCGTCCACTCTGATGATTCTCGGACATGATCTGGTCTGGGTGGATTTCCAACTTTGGGATGCGTTCCATCGGCCCCCGCTTGCCGAGAGCGTTCCAGAGGTGCCCAAATCGTCTCGAACGGCTGCCGGAGAGTCGAATTATGACCCGGAAACCAACGGGGAACGTTAATGGAGGCCCCCTAGATGGGGTCCGAGTAGATGGGGTCGGAGGATCGCGCCACAACGCCAATACATCGCCGATGCATCGGCGATGCATCGGCGACGCCAGCGGCGCATCGGCGACGCCGGCGTGGAGAAAATCGAGCCCCACATTGAGCCGCATCGGCGATGCATTGGCGATGCATCGGCGATGCGGGGCGATCCTCCGACCCCAGCTGCTCCGACCCCATCTGGGCGATCTAGAAGTGGGGGGGGATCGGCTCAAAGGGGACCAGGGAGACGTCGAGCTGGAACCGGCGATACATCGCCGAGAGATCGGCGACAGGCCAGGATTACGAAGTAGAACGTTCGATGGGCTATCGGGCCTGTGCCCATCGGCCAGAAGAAGTGAGTAGAAGCATGAAGCAGGAAGGCGGATAAAGTAGATTGGTTTCAGGCCCTCCCCGAGAATAACAGAACACATCAAAACCATGCCGATTCTTGAAGCAGGAGGGCGCCAGAAGTAGATTGGGACCTGGGAGTCCAAGGATACCTACCTTCAACGACCGGCGAGCATCGGCGAGGAATGGACGATTGGGGGTTGATGCATCCCCCGCGGCCGATCCCCCCTAACGTCGCCTTTGAGTGTCGACCAGAGCGTTGGTCTCTGACGTCGAGATGCTCCTTCGATATTGAAAATCGGTGGCTTTGCGATCACCAGACCTAGCAGCAGCATCGGCGGCACTTGGGGAGTCTCGAAAACGGTGCGGCGACAGACCGCACAGTGACCTCAGAACTCCTCCACCACTTATCCTTTCTCTCCTCCCCCCCCTCCTTCCCCCTTCTTCCTCGTCCTCATCCTGATCGGCTCTCCCTTCTTCCTCTTCCCCTTCTCCAGCCCATTCCTTCCCCCCGCTCTCTCATCCTCCTCCCCTCCTCCTCCTCCCCCTCCTCCTCCTCCTCCTCCTCCTCCTCCTCCTCCTCCTCCTCCTCCTCCTCCTCCTCCCCCCCCTCCTCCTCCTCCTCCCCCCCTCCTTCCTCGACTCCCATTCCACACCCCCCTCATCCTGCAACACCCTCCGATGACGACCCCGACGACGACGACGACGACGACGACGACGACGACGACGACGACGACGACGACGACGACGACGACGACGACGACGACGACCGCCCTCTGGCCAGCCGGGGCCCGCGCCCGCGCCAGCCACCCGCGGCCGATCCGCTGCACCAGCACGGTGGCGTGGACGACCGAGTGCCAGCGGCCGCGGACCTCTCGCGGGTGGCGCTCGCGGGCGAGCGCGCGAGACGTCCCCGGGAGGGGACGGGGCCGACCGGCGGCCTGCGCGGAGCGACCGATTTTACCGGGTCGGCCTCACATGAGACAAGGGCGCCCCAAGCACCGTACTGGGCTTAGACTCAATTCAATCTCTGCTCCAACGCGGTGCGATGCATAGATTTCGGCTGCGAGGGCCGGAAAACGATGCAGAGTGCCAATCCGGGGTCGAGGACCGACGACGCGTTGGGGGGCACCAACAACGTACGGTGCACACGAGTCGTCCGCGGATCAGAAGTCTTCCGTGGTGCTGTCCAGAGGCAGCAAACAAGGCCATCCACCTGTGCGTACCACCATTATCCTCGTGGGACGTCGAGAGCTGAACTCCATGTCAAATGGCGATGAAGTCCTGAGCGAGAGCGCGATGGGAGAGAAACTTGTGATGACGCGATTTTGAATAAACCGTGAGGACGTGATTATCTGACGTGAGCAATCTTGTGACAGTCTGGGGGCATCTATACATTTTGACGCTGAATACTTCCCCTCATCAAAACAACGAGCATTGGAAGGGGGCACTTCGGTTGAAAAACAAAGCGCGCCAGACAGTGGGGACCAGCACTCACGTTTCTGCCGAAAGGGGAAGAGATCGACGACAGCCCGCACAGCGGAACCCCACTGTAGCCACGTACACAGCGACTGTGTAAGTTCGTTCGGCCTCACCACTCTGCTCAGTCCAGATCTGCATCCGTCGTGGACGGCGCCCCGCTGGTCCCCCTGGGGCGCACGAGCGCTGCGATGGCTACACGCCAGCAGCGACCAGGAGGCGATCTCGTGAGGATCTCTGTGTCGCGAGGTAGCGCTTGGCAGGGCTCCCAGGGGGCGCAGGAAAATAGAGAGATTCTGGCTTGCCAGTAACTGGGGAATCGGGGGTGGCGAAAGAATGAGAAGTAGCAGCAGCCGCTGCTTCACGCGAAAACCCCGGCCGAGCAAAGGAGGGCAGGAATAGAATGCTGTCGCGTTGGCAGTCCAAAAGTCTGGGCCTCCCCCATCCTGTTCCCCGTGCTCCCGAGCCACTCAGGGCTCAGGGCCCCTGGTCGCAGATCGATCCAATCGCTTGCGCAATCAAATCGGCCGAGCCGACCCCCACGCAGACAAGAGGTTGTGCGCGTCCGTACTCGAAACATGCAGTGCCGCGTGTAGACGTCGGCGCGTGTCACCGAACCGATCGAATCGTGGACAACCCGCGCCTCCCTCCCAGGGGTCTCCGGAGTCCCAAAATCTTCTAGCGGCCTTGCACTCCTGCCGCCCTCTGGAGCGTCAATTGTTGAAACACATGAAGAAATCATAAAGGCAACAACTTCCTCTCCGCGTCCTGTTTCCAACTGAGAGCCCTGAAAATCTCGATCCCTTCTCCAGCGCAGAGTTTTCATCCTGAGCCGCTTTCGACGGCCTCTGGCCCGGTGAGGCCCCCCGGTAGCCAAGGACTGCCGAAACCTTCCGTCCAGATCCAATTCACGACGCGAAGGCATCTGCCTGGGCCGCCCCCGTTCTGTCCCCCCCCTCCTCTCCGCAGGCAGGCCGGGACCCGCCAGCCTTTCCCGCGGAGGCCCCTCCTCCTCCTCCTCCTCCTCCTCCTCCTCCTCCTCCTCCTCCTTCCCCTCCTTTTTCTCCTCCTCCTCCTCCTCCCTCCTCTTCCTCCCTCCTCCCTCCCCCCAGGGCCTGCGACGCGCGCCACACGCTCTGAATCATCGTGGCGGACTTGAGCTCCTGTCGCGCGGCCCCCCCCCTTCTCACGCGGGCCAAGCTGCAGGGAATCCAAGACGCGCGGGGGGTGGGGCTCCAGGGGGAAAGCAACGGCCTGGAATCGACGACGCATCGCTGGCAGATCGGCCGTGGCGGACTCGAGCCCCCGTCGCGCGGCTCTCCTTCTCCCGCGGGGGGACTCAGGGGGGGAGAAATGACCTGGAGTCGGGGATACATCGCCGACGGATCGGCGACAGGTCCGCGACAGCGAAACCCCATACAACTAAAGCGATGGGCCCCCTATCGCGAAACCGCAGGGTCCTGGGCGGGGTGGGCCATGAGGCCCGCCTGTCGGCGATGAATGGGCGATCGGGGGCCGATGCCCTCCGATCGCCCATCGTTGCCCCTGGTCCTGCGCGGCAAGCCTCTTTTCTTTTCGCCGCTGCATCGTCCGTGCCCAATCGTCTTCCGACCCCCCTTGAAGCATCCGCCCCCATCCACCCACGTGCTCGGGAGGGGGGCAGATCGAGGCACCAAGAACAACGAACGAACAAAAACGAAAATTACGAACGAAACAACGAACAAAAAACACGAACAACCAACAAGACACGACAGCCACACGAGCGAACAAAACGAAAAAACGAGCGAACCACTACTGCGGACAGCTGCCTGGGCCTACCTAAGACCTGGTTGGTGGGAGGAGCCGCGGCCTCCTGAACCATGCCTGGTGGAAAGCAAACGACCACGCACATGAACAACGGGACAGTGGAAAGTTATGACGGAGGAATTCGGAGGCAACTTCTGGGAGGTCGTCGTCGGAAGGATTAGGGAGGATTGAGCCCCATTGGGTGGCTGTTGCGCTGGAAAGGGCCTCGGATCAAGCGGGATTAAGCCGGATAAAACGGGACTGAACGGGATTAAGCCAGATAAAACAGAATTAAGCCAAATTGAACCAGATTTCGGACCAGGGCAACATCAGAATTTGACCTCCCAGGAGATGCATCCGAAGAGGAAAGGAGGAGGGGAACAAATCCTGGATGTGGATGTCGGCATGCTGTCTTTACGTGGGGTGATTGTACTGCCGTTCGAATGTCGACAAAATTGAGATGTTTTGAGCCGTGTAAACCCAAGTGAGGTCGTTTGATTAGCCTTTCGTGGCGATCACAGTGAGCGTTGTGTGCAGGCCGGAACTGCTTTGTTGGAGAAAAGTGGCGACGTCGTCTTCCCAGCGTTTGCGCTGTCTGCTGTGCTGTCACTGGCCACGTTGGCGTGGGCTTTCTCCTGGTTGCCAGTGGAGTGCTCGCCACGTCCACCTGCTGATGTCATGGTTAACAACCCTTGAAGGCATGCACCACGATCTCCGTCTGTGAGTCGTCTCCAAGTTCGCGACTTGGTAGCGCTGCATGAGCTGCTCTGCGTGCCGCGTTGCTCGCTGGATGTGGTCGGCCCGTGGCTTCATCGGGTCCTCGTCGTTGCTGTCGTTGCTTTCGCCGTGCTGATCAATTGTGCCTTGTTGTGGTAAGTCTGCTGTCTGCGCCCTATGGCATCAGAACCAACATCTCGCCAACACATCTTCATCGCTATGGATATACAGTCACAATAAGACGGAGGGGCAACATGCGATCCTTACCATGTTGAGATGGAAGGATATGAGCACAGAAGCCATGTATCTAGCAAGTGGTGCCACGGTCGCAGATGATGTTTTCTGCTGCTGCAGTGGCATCCCAACTCATTATGGCCCATTCGGATATCAAACTTTCCAGTGTCGAGATGGAGTGACTCTGGCGATCACAACAAACAACATGTCTGCAAACGCACGGAGTCGCCATGGCCAGCGTGCTGACTCCTCCGTCTGGATCATCGCGGCATGTGCCGAGTGTTCATTCGCGCGGGCATGGGTCAAATTATGTAGACATCGAGTGCTTGGCATTGCGCCCTCTTCTGGATGAGCTTGGTTATCTTATAGCTGCGGGGAGGCTAGCACGCAGCACTGAGAGGACCCACGCCACACGCAAGTGGCTTCAAAATTGTGCAATTCGCCGGGTCCTACTGGCGAGATGCAGCACCTCAAACCCACTGCGACGGAAAGACACAGACAATACCTAGAGGAAAAACAGAAAAAAGAGGAACAGGAACACGGAAAGAACACGGACGACGAGCAGGAAGGTCCTTAGGCCTGTTGTCGCTGGCCGCCTGGGTCATCTCGAAGAACTCCCTGGACACCGTCCATCCAGGGCAAAAGAGGCAAGGAGGCATGACTGACAGGGGGATGGCTGCTAAAAAGTCTGCGCCCCACCTCCCCTATCGATCCCGGACCCTCGATCCTCCGCCTCCTCCTCGGTCCTCCTCCTCCCGCCCTTCCCGATTAGGGGGCCACATGCGAAGCCTATCCCTACCCCCCACGGTTTCTGAGGGGGAGGGTGGGGTTCACTTCGTTCGGGAGCTCCCGAGCGAAGTGTACCCCCTCCCACCGTCCCCCTCAGAAATCGTGGGGGGTAGGGGTAGGGTTCGCATGTGGCCTCCTACCGATGCTCATCATCCTCCTCCTCGATCCTTCCCCTTGAGCCCGACTTGCCAAAAGATACAGCACACTGCCTAGCTCGCCCAACATCGCGCCTCGAGCTCCGTGGTGTGCGGCCATCTTTTTGCGCCCTCGCCAGGCCGCCCTGAAGAGGGACAGCTCTCCAGCCTAAGAGGTGATCTGGACTCCCCCATCGCGGCAGTGGCACCTATCTGGCCCGTTCTTGCTCGCTCTCCTTCTCCTCGTCCTCATCCTCCTCCTCCTCTTCCTCCTCCTCTTCCTCCTCCTCGTCCTCCTCGTCCTCCTCCTCCTCGTCCACCGCTCGAGGATCCTGGACTCCTGGACTGCCCTGGGGACGCACCTCTCCTCCGGGCCGCCCTGTCATAACGAGACCACTAAAGATGTACGCGCCGAGCCACGCACATGAATACGACCCCCAATGTGACCTCGTGGCCAGCCTCGTGTGACGAACGTTCGCGCAACGCATTTTCTCGACACCCGGCGAAACCTCGTGTCCACATGCACCTTCATTTCGCATCTGAGGCCTGGGCGACGCCCGCTGGGAATGGCCAAATCCTCGCGTTGGTACATCCGAAGCGGTTACGGAACAATTGGTAGGGTACGCAACAGCAAGTGCTGCCCAAAACCACTAGCGGACGCTGTTGGGCAGTAGCCAGCCTCGAACTTACCCCGATCCCCAAGATCAGCAAGCCCAAGTCGAT